GCATGTTAAACATATACACACTGAGCTCAGAGATGGTAAGTGGCTTGTCCAAGGTCACACAGCATTTAGGCTGAGCCTAAGACTGTCTGCCCATTTGGACAGTGTTTTCACGGTCTGGAGCCAGGCCACAGTGGGGAGGTTGGAAGATGGGGGGACTCCTCCATTGCAAACACAGACAGCCCCGTGCTGGGTACTGAGAGGGGTCGTGTCTGGGAACAGCCTAGTCACACCTGGGTGTCAGGGAGTCCAGAGAGTCCCAGAGGGGCATCTGGGTGGGCACCATGGTGGGCCCAGCACTGTGTCCACTGAGGGACACCTGGCGCACTCTCACTTCCTATGATGCCCGCCCCATGTTACCGGCAGCTGCATTATCTTGGGACGCGGGCACACGTGGCGCGGGTGCTCCGGCTCAGCCGGCTTCCTGGACCCAAGGAGCCCCGAGAGGATGGGCATTCATGCATCTGCCAGCCCCACGGCAGGGGGTGGGTGCGTGATCCTGAGATAGCGATGGGTGTGCAGAGCGCTCTTGGGGTCTCCTCTGCTCGAGAACGGGGCAGCCCCCTCCCCACCCCCACACACGCACACTCTGCCCTTGGCAGCACCTTGGAACCCAAAACCGCTTCCCGTGTCTGTGGTCGGCCACGCCACCCAAGCCCCTCTAACTGGGTCTCGGGGTGCCCAGAACCTGGGTCTGATGGGAAAAGGCTGGCGGGTCACCAGGCACCTGAGGCTGCCTCTCCAGGTCGTGTCTTCCGAGCTGAGTTTGAGCAAAGCCCTTCGGGTGGTCGGGTGACCTAGGGTGCTCTCTGGGCAGGTGTCGGTGAGCGGGACCGGTCCCCGGGGGACGTGGGTCTGGCACAAATGGCAGGTGTTTCCATTTTTCCTCTCCATGCCCATGCAGGGCGGTGTGTGTGTGTGTGTGTGTGTGCGCGTGCGCGTGCGCGTGCACGCGCGCTGCTGGCACCTCTGGGGAAGTGGGTGCCTGCCAGGAGGAGGGAGTCCCTTTCCTCCCCGCCTGTCTCTGACTTTGATGATCGGGTTTCAGCCACCAACTGGGACAGTTTCTTTCCTCCCCTTTCTCTTCCCAAATCCTGTCCCCGCCCCTCTTGCTGGGCAGGGAGGTGTGCAGGGGTGTCTGGCTGTGCAGGCAGCGTGGGGATGCGTGGAGGGACACCAGGGTAGGACAGCCTTGCCATGAGCTGCTCCTCCTGGGCGTGGAGGGTCAGAGAGGCAGGGGTTCGCTGGGGGTGGCACAGCGGCGCGTGGGGGCCGCTTCCTCTTTCTCTTCGCAGCTTTCTAAAAACGACGGGTTCCCAGAAGGGCTGTGGGAGGGAAAATCGCGTTTTGGTTTCTGTGGCTGGGAAGCAGGGAGACCGGCCACTTCCTCGCAGGGGGCCCCCCCATCCTGTGAGTCAGCGGGGGGTGGGGTGGGGGGGGAGGCCGGCAGGGCAGCCCAGCCTCTGGGGCAGCTGGAAGTCACTCCTCCCTGCAGGAGGCCCCTCAGCTTCCTGCTCGCCTAGAGGTTGATGGCCTGGCTCTTTCCTCTCTGGAGGGTCCTGCTCGCCCCTTGTCCCAGGGCCCCTCCCTCCCCATTTGTGGCCACAGGCAGGGTGAGGGTTGGAGCCCTCCTGTCCATCACCTGCCTGGGATCCGAGCTGCTGCTGGCTCCCTGCCCTGGCTCCCAAAGCCCTCAGAGCCTCGGGGTGATGGAGACCCCACCCACCTTTACCAAGACCGAGGTGTCTTCTGGAACCTGCTAGTGTGGGTTGGTGGCTGGCAGGTAGAGCCAGGGGGAGGGGGCTGGAGCCAGACTCCTTGGTGCAGGTGGCACGGGGGGGCTTGAGGGGGGCAGACAGGGAGGTGGGTGGGGAGGTCCCCAGCACCATGCCTGGATGCACAGGGGTGCTGGCGGGGACCTCCCTGGGAGACTGTGTGCCCTGGCGATGTGTCTGGACAGAGCGTCCCTGGCAGTGCCCAGACCCGCCCTTCGTGGGGAAACCGGCTTCTGAGGCTGCAGCTCAGCGCTGGGTCCTGGCTGCTGCTCAGCGGCCTAGGCTGCTGGGCGTGAGGTGGGGGGGAGTGCCTCAACCCATGATGATTGGAGTGTTGTACTCCCCAACCCCATGCTGGACCCCACCCTAAGCCCCCTCCCTCTCCCCAGGCTCCTTAGGAGTCTCCTCACGACTCTGGGCTGAGGACCTTTCTGGGGAGGCCCCACCGAGTCCGGGCTCAGCTTAGGCAGGTGGCAGTGGCTGAGCCAGGCGGACAGGCCCTCAGACCTCCCTCCTCCCCATCGTGGCTGGGAGCGGCGGCGGCGGCAGGGGTCTGAGAGCAGCGGATGTGACTGGGCCAGGAGGAAGCCTGGTCCCAGGATGTCACAATTTCCTGCAGTGAGCAAGCACTTCTGGGGCGCAGGAGATAAGTGGTGGGCGGGGCGCTCCCAGAGCTCTGCAGCCCGGCTCCTCCACGCCCTAGACTCCGGCTCTGCAGCCCTGGCTCCTCCATGCCCTAGACGCGGGCTCTGCAGGGTCCAGAGTGGGTGTGACCACCCCTGCACTGCCGCCCCTGACCCTCACTCCTGAGCCCTAAGGAAGGGGCTGGGAGGGGCTCACAGGCCAGGACTTGGCACTGCTCTGTGAAGATGGGTGCGTGGCTCCCCTAGGTACCACACTCCTCCCCAGAAAATGCGCCGCACCCCTGCCTCTGCTCCCTAGGGCGGGCCACTTCTCAGAACCCCCAGGATTGCCGGGGCAGCCCCATCCTCCAGTCCTTCAGCCTTGGATTGTGCCTGCCTTCCCCCTTCCCTGCCCCCCCCCCCCTTTAGGTTGGTGCTGATGCCAGCAGCACAGCGGGTCCTGGGCCAAGGGTCCCAGCCGGGGGTGGTATGGCCTTGGGATGGGAGGGCTGGCTGGGAGTCTGGGCTGTGCTGGGGTTGGGGACGAGCCGTCCACCGGGAACTCAATCTGGGACAGCGTCCTCCATCCTCAGCCTGGTCACAGCGGGCGGGGCCCAGGCACTCCTAAGCTTCCTGAGGAGGCCGTGTCCTGGGCTGGTGCAGGGCTGGGGGTGACCGTTCCTGCCCAGGGTGGCTGTGGACTGACCACCTGCCGCCTTGCATGTGCCCCTCGCACCTGCTCTCAGGCTGGCTGGCTGTCAGGCCGTGCCGCCCAGGGCTGCGGGGACACTCACACGTAGGCAGACCTGCAGGTGCTGCGGGAGCCGGCGAGAAGCGGGTCGATTCTGTCTGGTGGTGGCAGGGAAGGCCTCCTGGAGGAAGTGACATTTTACTTTCCTTAAAGCAGCTGGTAGGTAGGCGTGAGCCTGGCATGCCAGGTGCCAGGCCTCAGATAAGAGGAGATGGGAGCTGGGGGGCCTGGATGTGTCTGGTGGGGTGTGGTCGCTCTGAGTTCCAGAAGGATCCTGCCTGTTTGGTGGCCTGACCAGAGCTCGGCCTGGCAGCCCCGCTCACCCCCGCCTTCCTCTGCTGCCCTCCTGCCTCCCTTCTTGGCGCCCGTTTCCCAGGACAGCTCACCCCGTGCCCTCTCTCTGCCCTCTGGTCCCAAAGGAGGCCAGGCCGGGGGACTTGCCACGTGGGGCCCAGGTGAGCCTGTCGTCTTGGAGCTGTCCCCGGGGTGGGCTCCATCACATGGCTCCTGGGACTGAGGAGCCACCTGCCTGTGACTTCCACGCCCTGGGCTGCCCTGGGGCCTGGGCTCAGGCCTCCCAGTCTTGGGGAGAGAAGGAGGACGCCTGGGTCTGCTGGTCGGGCCTGAAAGAAGCAGGAAGTGTCTGGAGCTCCTGCTCTGCCTTGGGTCCCTCGCCAGGCCCCCTCCCCACCCAGAGTTCAGAACCAAAGGCTCTGATCCAATATGTAGAGTGAAGGGGGTGCTGTCCTGTGACTCAAAGGAGGGCCCATACCCACCCCAGCAGCTGGGCTCCTCTGGGTGCCCAGGGCCCTCTAGAGCAGTGATGGCGAACCTATGACACGCGAACTCATTTTTTTGGTTGATTTTTCTTTGTTAAATGGCATTTAAATATATAAAATAAATATCAAAAATATACATCTTTGTTTTCCTATGGTTGCAAATATTAAAAAATGTCTATATGTGACACGGCACCAGAGTTAAGTTAGGGTTTTTCAAAATGCTGACACACCAAGCTCAAAAGGTTCGCCATCACTGCTCTAGAGACTGCAGTTTGCAAAGTACTCAGATGCTGACCAGGATTTTCTGTGGCCTGGGCTCTCCACTGTCTCCCCGACAGGGTGCCTTCCCGCCCTGAGTGCACCCCAGCTCTAGCGAGGGTGGGGATACCCGTTTCCCAAGGAGACCTCAAGCCCTGCAGCCAGAGCGACTTGCGTCCCAGCTGCTCCCCTTCCTGGCGCTGTGAGTGTGGGCGAGTTACTGAGCGTCTCTGAGCCTCCGTTCCCCACCCACCAGACGGAAGCGATGATGATGTCCCCCACAGGGGTGTTGAGGGCAGAGCGGGGTGATGCCGGGCAGGCCAGCAAGGCTGGTGCACCTGAGGACGGGACCCTGCCCACCCCGCAGGCATCAGGGCTCTCCTCTAAGTGCGCTGCTGCCCGGCTGTGCGGGAGTATGTGTAGCTGCACGTCTCAGAGACAATGGGCACCACCCACTTACTCCCTTTTCTTTAAAATAAATAAATAAATATATATATATATTTACTTCACAGAGGAAGGGACGGGGAGAGAGATAGAAACATCCATGATGAGAGAGAATCACTGATTGGCTGCCTCCTGCACGCCCCACACTGGGGATGGAGCCCATAACCCAGTCCTGTGCCCCGACCCAGGAATCGAACCGTGACCTCCTGGTTCCTAGGTCGACGCTCAACCCTGAGCTACACCAGCCGAGCTCATTCCCCTTTCCATGCTTCATTTTACGTTGGGTGGATGTCACCCCCATACGTGAACGAACCCCAACAATAGCAAGGAGAACACTTCCAATGGTTTGAACACTGCCCTTCCTTTCCTCCAGGCTTTAGGCCGAGAGCTCAGGCAGCTGCCCTGCGGGCCTGGAGCGGCTGTCTGTCTCTCCACCTCCACACGCATGCGCCCACCTGTCCATGCAGCTGAGGCCTGACCCCGAGCATCCCTGCAGAGTGAGGAGGGGCTAGAACATGCTCTGGAGGCCTCGGCGACAGACCCAGCGCACCGTGAGCTGAGCCCACACTCGGAAGGTAGGAAGCTGGGTAGCCGGGAGGGGGACCCACGTGCTGGCTACTTCCCGCTGTTTACGTGATGGTCAACAATACGTGGTGCTGCCACCTGTGGGCCGCGCTCATGTGATGCTCAGGAGGGAGGAAGGGAGTCCCCCACCGTCGGCGAGGACGTGGTGACCCGCGGTCAAGTGCAGGCCTGTGTGCCCCTCAGGCCCAGGCCGCCCGGCTCCAGCCTGTGTTTGTGGCCACGACCCCCCAGCACCTCCCTGAAGGGCTTGGCAGGTGGGAGACAGTGAGGGGCCCCCGGCCGTTGCGTGGGCGGGAGCGGGCTGGGTGGGGACAGCCACGCAGAGCCCAGAGGTCCCGGGGAGGAGCTGCGCTGTGTTTCAAGTGAGAGCAGGAAACCCTGGGACAGCGTTGGGCACGGAGTGACATGGCGTCGTAACCAATCTGGAGCTAAGGGAATTCCGCCGGCGAGACCTCGCAGTCGCCAGGAAGGGGCTGCCTGTGTGGCCGACGGGCAGTGCCGCAGGGCCGGAGTGCGTGCGTGCGTGGGTCCTGCCCTCCGTGCAGAGGGATCTGGAAGGACAGGCACGCAGCTTCCTCCCGCAGGACGGGCGGCAGGCGGGCCACGGGCTCACTCTGCTCTATGTGGTCCTCCGGGTTTTCGTTCTTTGTTTGCAATGAGCGTATATTACTTGTATCATTAAGACAGAACGTTTTTGCCCTGGCCGGTGTGGCTCGGTGGATAGAGCGCCGGCCTGCGGACTGAAGGGTCCCAGGTTCAGTTCCGGTCAAGGGCATGTGCCTTGGTTGCGGGCACATCCCCAGTAGTGGGTGTGCAGGAGGCAGCTGATCGGTGTTTCTCTCTATCCCTCTCCCTTGCTCTCTGTAAAAAATAAATAAAAATTGAAAAAAGATAGAACATTTTTTCTCCGCGAAAAGAAAAAGGTACCAGACAGGTGGCAGTTTCAGTTAACCTTTGAAAAAGGAACCAGGCCGCCATGGGGGACAGGGACAGATGTCTTTCGAGTCTGAGAATTAGGCTGAGCCACCACTTCCTCCCTCCCAGCAGTGCGGGGCCATTGGCTGTGGACTGGTCACCAGATGGCTCCCAGCCTTCTGTCCTCCCCCGGGCCCTGCCCCAGGGACAAAGGCAGGGCCTGGCCCCCTGGCGGCACAACCTCTGCAGCTCTGCACCCTGTGTCTTGCTCCTCTCGGCCTGTGGTCCTTGCCTGAGCAGAGACCAGAAGTGGACGGAGATGGGAGTTGGGGACTTCCCAGACCCTACTGGCTTGGAATGCAAATGAAGGGGGACAGAAATAGACCTTTAAAAAAACATTTGTATTGATTTCAGAGAGGAAGGGAGAGGGAGAGAGAAACATCAATGATGAGAATCACTGATCACCTGCCTCCTGCACGCCCCCCACTTGGGATCGAGCCCACAACCCGGGCATGTGCCCTGACCGGGAATCGAACCGTGACCTCCGGGTCCCTAAGTTGACACTCAATCACTGAGCCACGCCCGGCCAGACAGAAATAGACCTTCTTGCCGAACCCCACTCGCCGGATTCAGACTCTGCCCTGTGACTTGGTGTCTGGGGTTAGGGTAGAACCAGCTTTTGGCAGGTTGTTCTCAGTCCGGGCTGCCCGCCCTGGCGCCTGGGTCTCCACGTCCCCTCTGGTTCTCGACACACCCGTGTCCCCCTCCCCATCTCCTTTCCAGCACCCCGCCCGCCTGCCCACCATGGCCTCCGCAGACAAGAATGGCGAGAGCGTCTCCTCTGTGTCCGGCAGCCGCCTGCAGAGCCGGAAGCCGCCCAACCTGTCCATCACCATCCCGCCGCCCGAGACCGCGGCCCCTGATGAGCACGCCAGCATGCTGCCCCAGGTGAGGGCGGCCGGCTCCCGTCCGCCACAGGTGCCAGGTGTGCCCCGGGGACACCTTCCGGGCATTCCGCTTCCTGGAGGAGGCTCTGTCCCTAGCACTGCTGCCCGCGTGGCCCCTGACTTAGGCCTGTGCCCCTCGTCTGGCCCCAAACAGCGCAGGGAGTGGGCCCTGCGCTCAGGAGCGCCGCCTCACGGCGGTAAATGGGAGCTGCTGTCCCGGGGACAGGCTGGGCCGTCCCACCTGGGACTTGGCTGTTTCCATCTCCTCTCCCGGCTGTTCCGGGGGGCGTGGGCTGCCTGGTGGGACTTGGGTGAAGGGGCACGTGTGCCCTCAGTGCCTGCCCCTGGGAGAGAACAGACATGAATCAGTGTTTCCAACCGGCTGGACTCCGGTCCATAAAGAGCTCATTGAAGACGGCTCGGCGCAGCGTGGGCCCCGCGCAGCCTGGGCATAAAGGGGCTGTGTTGGTGCCGCCCGCTCCCCCACGGGTGCTCTCAAACACACAGCGGCAGGCCGGGCGCCGTGGCGTGACGGGGGAGCGCTGAGTGAGGAGGCAGGGAATGCACGCTGGGGTTTTTTGAAAAACATTAGAAAACAGTGATTTGACCCTCGGGATGAAAGCCGCTCAGGGCTGTACGTTGGGGCTGAGGTTTGTTCTCAGAGGTTTCATGTTGGGAGCTGGGAGCCCGGCTCCGCGCGTGCGCACGCCCACCCTCTGCTGCCTCCCGCCCCCCACAGAGGCCCAGGAACCCCGCCTTCCTGAAGAGCGTCAGCCTGCAGGAGCCCCGGGGACGATGGCACGAGGGCTCCGAGAAGCGCCCCGGCTTCCGCCGCCAGGCCTCCCTGTCTCAGAGCATCCGCAAGTGAGCACGCCGCCCGCCCGCCCGGCCTGACCCCATGTCCCCGTGTCCCGTTCTAGAAGGCACAGGCTGGCCTTAGTGAGTGGCCTCTCCCTCAGGGTGGACGGGAGTCTAACACCGTGTTGCAGGTGGGAAGCTGGGGCACAGGGACATGTGCCTCTCATAGTCACAGGTGGATTCCGAGGGGTTCGAGGGGCTGGGGTGGCCACTGCCGCTCAGAGTGGCTCCCGGGGCCGGCCCAGCCCCGCTCCTCATGCTCTGGACTCTTCTCCACCTCTGCTCCTCTGGCTGTGGGGACCGAACCAGGGGCTCGAGGGGGAGCTGACCTGCCCCTGACACTGCATACATGTGCCCTTCACCTTGTCACCCCCTGCACACATGCACAGTCACCTGTCATCACTCCTTACACACATGCCTTGTCATTCTCTGCATACACACGTGTGCCATCAACTCTCATCACTTCCCCTGTGCACACATGTGCATGGTCAGCTCTGGTCACACCCTGCACATGCACATGACCTGTCACCTCCCTTCACACATTCAAGGTCACCTCTCGTCAGCCTTACACACGTGCACGGTCACCTCTTGTCACAGCTGCATGCACACGTGTGCCATCAACTCTCACATCGCTTCCCCTGTGCACACGTGGGCACGGCCAGCTCCCGTTACCCCTCCACGCGCGTGCCCTGTCCTAGTCCTCGTGGCCTCACGGCCGTGCATGTGCACACGCACACCGTCCCCTCCGTCCGCAGGGGCACCGCGCAGTGGTTCGGGGTCAGCGGCGACTGGGAGCTGGAGCGGCAGCACTGGCAGCGCCGGAGCCTGCACCACTGCAGCGTGCGCTACGGCCGCCTCAAGGCCTCGTGCCAGCGCGACCTGGAGCTCCCCAGCCAGGACGTGCCTTCCTTCCCGGACACCGAGTCTCCGAAGCCCTGCAAGATGCCCAAGGTGGGCTCCATCGGGCCAAGCGGGCGGCGGGCGCTTCGCCAGGGGCCCGGCCGCTCTGCTCACCGCCCCCCTCCCGTCCAGATTGTGGACCCGCTGGCCCGAGGCCGGGCCTTCCGCCACCCGGACGAGGTGGACCGGCCCCACGCCCCACACCCACCGCTGACCCCCGGGGTCCTGTCGCTCACCTCCTTCACCAGCGTCCGCTCTGGCCACCTCCCCCGCCGGAAGAGGATGTCTGTGGCCCACATGAGTTTTCAAGCTGCCTCTGCCCTCCTCAAGGTGAGGCCGCCTGCCTCTGCCCACTCTCCTTCCCACTCCCCACAGCACGCCCCAAGAGTCCACCTCGGCACCTCCCTCTGTGCCCAGGGCAGTGGATGCCTGGGACCCCTGGGTAGAGGGAGGGCCTGCAGCCCAGAAGCTGGGCCCACGTCCCAGCCCCGGATCCCCTCCTGCGCCCCTGCAGCTCTCTGGCTTGGGAAACTGGTTTTGCACCGATGGGCTGGGAAAGTAGGAAGTGAAATGTGTCGTCAGCCCTCGTCACCCGTTCACTGAGCCCATTGATGGTGCTGGGCAAGGGGGAAATGAGCCAGTCTCTGCCCGGGAGAGCCCAGCCCAGGTGAGGGCACCGTTCGGTGTGATAAGCGGAGGCCTGCCCAGAGCAGGAGCTGCCCCATCCCGCCCAGGAGAAGGGCTGTGTCAGGGAAGGCGCTTGAGCAGAGCCCAGAAAAATAAGGAAAAGTTTGCCAGGAAAGCAGGGAAAGGAACAGCATTCTCAACAGAGGGAAAGGCCGATGCAAAGGCCCAGAGGTAGAAGGGGGCGTGGCCTTTGGGGGAGCAGCAGGTGGGTTCATGTGGTTTTAGTTATGGTGGCAGGAGATGGGATCAGAAAGATGGGCAGGGCCTCGTGTGTCGTGCCGAGGAGCCAGGCCTCGGGGAGCCAGGCCTCGGGAGATGGCACAAGTCTCAGGAATAAAGGTGAATGGTGGGTGTTGGCTGCCCAGCCAGAGGACAGGAGGTGTCCAGAGAGAAGACAGCGGCCAACCGTGGGGGAGGGATGGTGCATCCAGGGCTATGAAGCCAGTGCCGCGTTCCTGGCCCTCGGTGCTCTGGGCTGATCGCACCTTCGAGGCGCTATCCCCAGAGGGAGGGCTTGACGGTCCCTTTGGTGTTGGGGGCGCCCGACCCGCCTGATGCCCATGCCTCGGCCCTGCGCACAGGGGCGCTCGGTGCTGGATGCCGCTGCGCCGCGGTGCCGGGTGGTCAAGCGCAGCTTCGCCTACCCCAGCTTCCTGGAGGAGGATGCAGTCGACGGGGCAGACACATTTGACTCCTCGTTTTTTAGTAAGGCAAGCATGGGGCGCGGGCCCTCGGGGCAGGGGGCAGGGTGGCCTGGGAGCTGGGCGGAGTGACCTGGCCCTGACCATCCCCTGCCAGGAGCCCCTGAGGGATCCAAAGGCCCATTGGTGGGATGGTTGTGCCACCTTGGAGTGCTCCTAGGTCCCCGTTTTTCTGTCAGAGTGAGGACCTGGGGGTGGGGCAGGATGTCCCCCAGAAAAGTCGGCCAGGGCCAACACATGCACCTCCCACTTCCCTCCCGACGTGCCTGCCTGGCCTGCCTTTGACTTGAGCGGTGGGGGCAGAACTGGGGACCAGGACTCCTCACACTGCCTCCTTGTGTGTCCGCCACTCCACCCCCACCCCAGGAAGAAATGAGCTCCATGCCCGACGACGTGTTTGAGTCTCCCCCACTCTCCGCCAGCTGCTTCCGGGCGATCCCGCGCTCGGCCTCCCCCGTCTCCCCCGACGGGGTGCAGGTCTCTCTGTGAGTTCTGGGCAGCCCCTCCTGCAGGAGGAGGGAGGTGGCAGAGCTGGGAAAGGACTCCCCAGAGCCCAGGAATCTTGGGGGGGGGTCCCCAGACCCCAAGTCCCTCGTGGGCCGCGTGAGGTGGCACCAGGCTGAGAGCCGCCGTCCCAGCAGGAGGGAGTACGGCCGCACCCCAGTGCCGGTGGCCAAGCGTGGCAAGCGCATCGCCTCCAAGGTGAAGCACTTTGCCTTCGACCGGCAGAAGCGGCACTACGGCCTGGGCGTGGTGGGCAGCTGGCTGAACCGCCGCTACCGCCGCAGCATCAGCAGCACGGTGCAGCGGCAGCTGGAGAGCTTCGACAGCCACCGGTGAGTCCACTCCGGGAGCGCTGGGAGGGGCCTCTTCTCCACCGGGACTCCCCACTTCCCGGCCTCCCAGGCAGCGGTCTGTCAACAGCATCCATTTTGAGCGCCAGCCCGCAGGCCCTGCAGAATTCTGTCGGAGCCCCGACAGAATGCAGCAGGGAGGGCTGGATGGGACAGTTAGCCTCCCCAGCCCCAGCCATGAGTGAGGGGCCTGGGGGGGAACACATGCAAAGACCTTGGGGGAAGCCAGAGAATGGGGAGGGGCAGTTCTCGCCGAGTGGACGATTGGCAGTGATCCAATAGAGATTCGATCCCAAATTACAAAACGCTAAGTAGTAACAAGTGTGGCCATGTCCTGAGGAGGAGGGCAGAGAGCGGGAGGGAGCAGCTGGGGGTGCGGTCAGGATGAGCAGCAGTTAACTGGCTGAGGAGAAATGGGGCGAACCTCCCTGACAAAGGCAGCAGCATGTGCAACGGCCCTGTGGCTGCCAGGAACTGCAAGAGGAGAGGAAGTCTGGGAGGTGGGTGGGCGCAGCAGGGCGTTGCCACCAGTGGGAGGGGCTGATGTTAGACTCTATCCAGGGGCAGCGAGCGGGAAGCCACCCAAGGGTTGAGAGCTGGGAGAGAGGCTCGTAGAGGTGCATTTTGGAAGCCGCTGGTGAAGGATGAGTGGAAGTGCAGGGTGGGGAGCAGGGGGCGCTGAGCGTCAGGGTGCTGACCCAGCCTCTGCCCCAGGCCCTACTTCACGTACTGGCTGACGTTCGTCCACATCATCATCACGCTGCTGGTGATCTGCACGTACGGCATCGCGCCCGTGGGCTTCGCCCAGCACGTCACCACCCAGCTGGTAAGTTGGGCTGCAGAAGTGGGGTTCCATCCTGGGGTCTCAGCCCCCCAAGAGGCTTCTGCATCGTGGGCCATTGAGTGCCTCCCATAGCAACAACCTGGCCCAGGTGGGAGGGTGCATTGGCCACTGCTTTGCCCCTTGGCCCTTTCCTGGGGGCCGGCCCTGGCACGGAATCCCTGACTCCTCCTTCCACCTCCTTGCACCCCTGCCCAGGTGCTCAGGAACAAAGGTGTGTATGAGAGCGTGAAGTACCTGCAGCAGGAGAACTTCTGGATCGGCCCCAGCTCGGTGAGGGCCCAGGGACAGCCAGCATCTCAGCAGGAGCCCCGGGCCCTGTCTCCCCAGCGGGGCAGGGAGGGGTCGGCTTGCCCGTAACCCCTCATCAGGGGACACTTAACAGAGCAGGGAGCTCACTCCCCCACCTCTCTGCCCCCCGCCCCCCCCCACACACAGATTGACTTGATCCACCTGGGAGCCAAGTTCTCGCCCTGCATCCGGAAGGACCAGCAGATCGAGCAGCTGGTGTTGCGGGAGCGAGACCTGGAGCGGGACTCGGGTTGCTGCGTCCAGAATGACCACTCGGGCTGCATCCAGACCCAGCGGAAGGACTGCTCGGTGGGGGCAGGGCCGCCATCCACCCCGGGCCCTACACCATGTCCACTGCCCTGGCCTGGGGGAGGGACCCTTCAAGGGCAGTGACCACGTCCCCCCTTCCTTCCTCTGCCCTCCCCAACCTCATGCACCCCTGTCCACGGCCCTGCACACCCCTGTACACACCGCTGTCCACCCCTGCACATGGCCCAGCACTGGAAGGCTGCCGCCCTCCGCAACCCAAGCCAGTGAAAGCTGGGTCTTGAGAATGTCACCCGGGGTGGGGTCCTGAGAAACAGGAAGAGCCCGATCCTGGTGCGTCCCCTGACCTCTCTGGTGGGTGTGGCCGTCCTGGCCTGACCAGCTCCCCTCCCTCCCCCAGGAGACTTTGGCTACTTTTGTGAAGTGGCAGGATGACATGGGGCCCCCGATGGACAAGTCCGATCTGGGCCAGAAGCGGATGTCAGGCGCCGTGTGCCACCAGGACCCCAGGTAGAGTCCCAGGTGGCCCTCGGCAAGGCTGTCTGAGAAGATGGGGTTGAGGGCCGCACTGTCTGTGCCCCCCACAGGGACGTTGGCAGTGGCTGTGGCTGGCTGCGGGTGCCCCAGCCCCTCATATTGCCCCCCTCTGGCCTCTCCCTCCAGGACCTGCGAGGAGCCGGCCTCCAGTGGTGCCCACATCTGGCCTGATGACATTACCAAGTGGCCAGTGAGTACCCGGGGCAGAGAGTGGTCTGGGAAGGGCGGGGAGGGGCTCCCGCCACACCACCCACCCGGCCGGTGCCCCGCAGATCTGCACGGAGCAGGCCAGGAGCAACCGCACGGGCTTCCTGCACATCGACTGCCAGATCCGCGGCCGCCCCTGCTGCATCGGCACCAAGGGCAGGTGAGCCGCCCGCCTGCGCGCTGCGCTCATGTCCTCCTCGTCCACTCTGGGCCCTGTGGTGGGAGCAGGACGAAGGGGCGCTTCCCCGGAGCCGGGTCTCTCAGAGGGGCACCGCCTTCCCACTAGCAATGCTGGCTGTGGCCAGGCACTGGCGCCAGGCAAGGTGGGCAGGTACTCCGGGCCCTGACACCCCCCCTCCCCCCAGCTGTGAGATCACCACTCGGGAGTACTGTGAGTTCATGCACGGCTATTTCCATGAGGAGGCGACGCTCTGCTCGCAGGTGAGGTGGGGCCTGGCGGGACCCAGTGGGGCTCTGGGCACAAGACGTTGGGCATTGCCCGGCCGGCGTGGCTCAGTGGTTGAGCGTCAACCTGTGAACCAGAAGGTCATGGTTCAGTTCCTGAGCAGGGCACAGGCCCGGGTTGTGGGCTTCATTCCCAGTGTGGGGCGTGCAGGACGCAGCCGATCCATGATTCTCTCTTGTCATTGATGTTTCTCTCTCTCCTTCTCCCTTCCTCTCTGACATCAATATATTTATTGGAAAAAAAAGGCTGATGCCATTTTGGGGCTCAGCCCCATCTGGTTTTCCAGATGACCTAATAAATTCATAGTTCTTTACCACCACCCCCCCCCCCCGCCCGCTCCCCCACAAAGAGGAGCCGTTCATGGCAGCTACTGCAGCTGGCCTCACGCGTGCCCTCCTGCAGCGGGTATCGGCTCTGCCCACCCTACACCCGGGCCTCCGACCCAGCCAGGCGCGGGCACTGACCCCCTGCTCGCCCCCAGGTGCACTGCTTGGACAAGGTGTGCGGGCTGCTGCCCTTTCTCAACCCCGAGGTCCCGGACCAGTTCTACAGGCTCTGGCTGTCTCTGTTCCTCCACGCCGGGTAAGGCACCGAGATGCCCACCCGCAGTGGCCGCCCACCTGGACCCCCACAGAGGGGCTCCTGGGCCAGGGCGCAGCCCTCCCGCTCCACCTCCCCGGGAGTGCCTGGCGGGCAGCCGTGGCAGACGGGGAGGCTGATGCCTGTCGCCCCCGCCCCAGCCTGGTGCACTGCTTCGTGTCCGTGGTCTTCCAAATGACCATCCTGCGGGACCTGGAGAAGCTGGCCGGCTGGCACCGCATCTCCATCATCTTCATCCTCAGCGGCATCACCGGCAATCTCGCCAGCGCCATCTTCCTCCCGTACCGGGCAGAGGTAGGGACTCGGTGGGAGCAGGGGGGTGGGGAGGGCACACGGCCCCTCCCTTGCTGGGCTCAACAGCGGATGAACTGCTAAGCTGGAGGCTTATTGGCTGATCCCTTAATCCTGGGCGAGAGGGGGCTTGCCCCTGAGTCATGCGCAGATGGCACCTCCCGAAAGACCTTTCTGCGCCGCCCCTCACTCCATTCCTCCTCTCTGCTTCGGTTCTTCATGACCCCTGCCCGCCGCCTGGTCGCAGACCTGTAGGTAGAGCCATAGGAAGTTGCCAGTGTGTGACCGTTCTTGACCCATAGGAACCACAGTTCTTGTTTGTTTTTAATGTTTTTATTGATTTTTAGAGAGAGGGGAAGGGAGAGGGATAGAGAGATAGAAACATCGACGAGAGAAAAACATCATCGATTGGCTGCCTCCTGCACGCCCACACTGGGGATCAAGCCCGCAGCCCTGGGCATGTGCTCTGACCGGGAATCGAACCAGCGACCTCTCGGTTCATGGGTCAGTGCTCAACCACTGAGCCACACCAGCCCGGCAGGAATGGCCGTTTTTGACCCATTCGCCCGAAGGCGGCTGCCCTGTCCAGTGTCCGGCCCCTCCCCCGGAGCACGGGGCACGTGGAAGGTGCCCTTCGGCTGAAAGGGTGGTGGGAGCAGCCCAGCCTCGTACTCCCAGGTACCAGGCCCAGCGGCCCCAGAGCTTCGGGGCCCCACTCTGGGTCGGGCTCCCCAACAGGCTGACTCGGGTGCCAGGGCTCCCTGCGCACCTGGTACCTGGGAGTGAGCCGCCCCCTCCCTGCCCAGGTGGGCCCAGCGGGGTCGCAGTTCGGCCTCCTGGCCTGCCTCTTCGTGGAGCTGTTCCAGAGCTGGCAGCTGCTGGAGCGGCCCTGGAAGGCCTTCCTCAACCTGGCGGCCGTGGTGCTCTTCCTGTTCGTGTGCGGCCTGCTGCCCTGGATTGACAACATCGCCCACATCTTCGGCTTCCTCAGCGGCCTGCTGCTGGCCTTCGCCTTCCTGCCCTACATCACCTTCGGCACCAGCGACAAGTACCGCAAGCGCGCCCTCATCCTGGTGTCGCTGCTGGTCTTCGCCGGCCTCTTCGCCTCGCTGGTCATCTGGCTCTACGTCTACCCCATCCACTGGCCCTGGATCGAGCACCTCACCTGCTTCCCCTTCACCAGCCGCTTCTGTGAGAAGTACGAGCTGGACCAGGTGCTGCACTGACCCCCCGCCGGGCCGGCCGGGCGAGGCTGCCGCCTGCAGCACCACCGACGACACAGGGCCTGAGCCTGAGGCACAAGGGCCGAGCCTGGGACATGGGGGCCGAGCCTGGGACATGGGGCCCGAGCCTGGGACAGGGGGGCCAAGCCTGGGGCGGGCTGCCTGCCTGCAGAGCGCCCCACCCACACTCCAGAGACCCACCGACAGGGCGCCCAGGCCCTGGTGCCGGTTCAGAGATGGTCACACAGGCGGGTTCCCCAGGGGATGAGGTGCCCCTTGGGCGTTCCTGGTCTGGCTGGGGCGCACCCTTGAGCACCTCCTTCTCCGCAGCTCAGGGCCCAGGCCCCGACTTACCCTGCTGTCAGGACCCCCATCTCCCACCGCAGCCTCTGCTGAGTGCTGGGGCCTCTTCCACCGTGACTGTGCGCGTGCCCTTACCGGGGACGTGGCCAGGCGGCCCACCGGGTTCCCACCCCTGCCTCACCACGACCCCCTCCCTGTTCCTCCTCCCCTCTCTGCCCTACCAGCCCCTTCCTCAGTGGCTGCTGGGTCTGCCATCAGGTGACCGGGTGTGGGAGAGGCTTTGGCCGTGGCCTAGGGCAGAGCAGCCGCATGGAGACAGGGAGCGGGAGCCTTGGCGCTTTGCAGCGACCAGAGCCTGTGCCGCCCGCCCCTCACCCCGCCCGTCGTGTCTGCCTCAGGGGCTGCCTCTGACAACAGCGGCCCCCCACCATCTGCCGGGGCGGGGGCTGGGCCACCCCGAGGACCCGCTCCCAAGGTTGCCTGGGGCTCAGTCAGGGCGTCTGTTACCCGTTTATAGTTTGGTCCTAATTTTTAAAGTAACGCTAACTTTGTATGGATGATGTCTGGGTGTATTAAATGATACTTTTCAGGGAACGTCTTCTTTTGACCGGAGCCCTCTGGAAGAGTGAAAGCGGGAACCTTAATTTGGGGGTGGGAAAGGGTGGGGGTCGGCTGGGAAGAACTCGGGGGCAGGGGCTGGCAGAAAGGGGCCGTGGGAATCTTGTGGGACTTCCTGGGGGATTTGGTTGGAATAGAAACCGGGTTGGGCTCCCATGGAGGGCCTCAGGGGGGTCCCTTGAGGGATTGGAGTTAAATTCTTAGACTGGTGGTGCTTGTAGGGGCAGTGAGGCTGGGCCAAGGGGCAGGCCTCCCTGGACAGCTCTGTTCACTGTACCTGTGCCTCGCCCAACCCTTCCCCACGCAGGGAGCCACCCACTGGGTGACTGTGGGCAGAGGACCCAGGGTCCTGGAGCTGGGAGCGGCAGTCCCTTCACCCTCCTCCCCTCCCCCCATTCCAGGGCTGAGAGTGAGAAGGGACCTGCCTGGGACCCGGGAGAACAGGGCCCTGCACAGCTCCTGTAAAGGACAGCTCTGATCCTGAGCCCGCCATGCCTGCCTCCTGCAGGGCCCCATTGGTTCTGAGATGGGAGGGGGCTGAGGCAGGGCTGCTTGTCCCCACTTGCTGCCCTCTTCTCAGGCACAGCCTGGAGTACGGGAGGTCCAGAGGGTCTCGTAGGGACAGCCTGCAGGGCACATCTCGTGTTCAGCTGGGAGAACTGGCCATGTTCTCTATTTTAAAAATCTATTTAAAATATATATATATATATTTTTTACTAGAGGCCCAATGCACGAAAACTCGTGCAAGAGAAGGCCTTCCTTCCCCCGGCTGCCGGCACCGGCTTCCCTCTGGCACCCGGGACCCGGGCTGCTTCCCTCGGGCCCCGGCTTTGTCAGGAAAGATGTTCGGAATGATGTCTGGCAGATGTCCGGTCTAATTAGCATATTACACTTTTATTACTATAGATTGCTTTCAGAGAGGGAGAGAGAGAGAAACATCAGTGATGAGAGAGAATCATTGATCGGCCACCTCCTGCACCCACACAGGATCTGAGCCCACAACCTGGGCCTGTGGCCTGACTAGGAATCAAACAGTGACTTCCTGGTTCATAGGCCCAACCACTGAGCCACACCAGCTGGGCGTGGCCTTTCTCTATTTCACCCCTCCCCCCTGCCTGGGAATCCTGGTGGAGCTGGGGGAGGCCAGGGCAGGGCACTGGAGAATGGAGAGCCCCCCCTCGGCCCACCCCCCTCTCCCCCCAGCCCGCTCAGCAGCTGTACCTCCGCAGGGAGGCGTGGCCCTGCAGCGAGCACTGGAGCTCCGTGAAGGCCAGCGGGCCCACGGACACGGCACAGGGGCCCACGGGGTGGAAGCCGAACCGCGCGTAGAAGGGCACCAGCGCGTCCTCGCACATGAGCACGGCCCGGCGCACGGCTGGCTGGCCGCCCAGGTGGCACAGGTAGCGCCACAGCAGGAGCGAGCCCCGGCCCTGCTGCCGGAAGGCGCGGTGCACGGCCAGCACGTGCAGGTGGGCCGTGTGGCCCCCGGGCCGGTGCAGCAGCAGGGCCTCCTGCGGGCGAGAGAGGCGTGAGGCCGCGTCACCTGTGCCCACACCTCAGCAGGTGCCCCCAGTCGGGCCTCTCCCACCCAAGGAGGACCCCAAAGTGAATAAATACCCCCCACTCCCGGCCTCATGGCAGGCCCTTCGCGAGGGCTCTGGAGACCCCGTGATCAGGACCCCTTCCCCAGAAGGGGACCCACAGCCTGTGCTTCTGTCTGGTTTGGAGGAAGAAGCAGTTCTGGGCTCCCCGCCCTCGTCTGGCTGGGTGAGCGGGGCCAGGGCCGGGGTGGGGGCCAGGGCCGGGGTGGGGGCCAGGGCCGGGGTGGGGGCCGCTCCCAGGGGCTTCCTGGAGCTGGGCATCGCCGCCCTGCCCTCACCTGAGCACCCCTACTCCCCCCCGCCCTCACCTGAGCACCCCTACCCCCCCACCCTCACCTGAGCACCCCTACCCCCCTGCCCTCACCGGTGTGAGCCTCTCCTCGTCCCACAGCGAGCCGATGATGAAGGCCACAAGGCGGCCCTCGTGGAACCAGCCCAGGGAGAGCTCTGGGCACAGGGTCAGGAAGCGCCGGAGCTCGTCGAGATACAGGGGACACACGCCCGAGACGGAGATGAAGGCTGCGGGCGGAGGCCCCGGTGGGTGGCTCAGAGGGCACCGTGCCACACGTCCACCCCCAGCCCTCCCCGCAGGAAAGCAGGGGGTTCGGGGCTGCACACACACACGGGAACACGGGAGCACGCACACACATGGGAACACACACATGGGAACACGCACACAGTCTGATACTCTCACTCCATAGGCCCCTGGGAGCTGCAGCTCCGGGCACCAGCCCCAGGTGGGGGGGCTGCTCACCTTCCCGCTCGATCTCGAACACGCCGGCCGCATCCTGGGGGGTGAGGCAGCGGAACTCGCTGGCGGGGAGCGTGTGGCGCCGCTGGCAGCCGGGGGGCTCGGGCATCCCAGGCGGCAGGCGCAGGGCCACGGGCGGCAGGCAGTGAATGCTCTGCGTGGACATCCTCGCTGCGGGGCCCCTCTGGGTGCCCGGGCTCAGGGACGCCCCTGCGGGAGATGAAGGTGCTGGCACCTGTTCTGTTGGTCAGGGGTCTGGTCGTCCTCTCCAGGCGGGAGGGCCAGAGTGAGGGTGCGTCTCGCCTCTTTTGTAGCTGCACCTGGGGTGGGGCCAGCCCCAAAGCAGAGGCACATTCCCCCGTGCCTGCCCCCGCCTCCCCTCCCCCGCCGGCTGCTTTGGGGATTAAACAAGGGTGCTCTCCCCACCCTTTCCTCAAAGCCAGAAGTACCTACAGAGCGGCCCTCGCTGCGATTCTAGCCTCATTGCCTTCCGGGCATCGGAGCCCAGGAGAGCAGGAGGGGTGGGCAGGGCTCAGGGGAGCCCAGGGCACCCCGATAGTGTTGCCCAAGGGACACGAGCCTCCACGGGCCACGCTAATGCAGCAGGCGGGGGGCTTGTCTTACTTGCTCAGAGTCCTTTGGGTACAGGATGGTATAGCCTCAGTCCTCAGCCCTAGAGGGAAAGCCCCTTAATCAGTAGGTCCTTGGGGAGCCCACCTTTACCCGGTGGCCTTGGGGTGGTTAGGAGGGGGAGTCGGGTGTGGGGAGGGGCCAGATAACCCCCTGCTCCACCCTGGCTCGCTTTTCTTTCTCCCATGACCCCTGCAGATGTACAGCTCTTAGAGGAGGCCACCCCCGCTTACCTTTGGTGCCCTAGCCGGTGTGACTCAGTGGACAGAGCCTCAGCCTGCAGACCAAAGGGTCCCGGGTTCGATTCCAGTCAAGGGCACGTACCGTGGTTGCAGGCTCCTCCCGGGCCCGCGCCCTGGTTGAGGCGCACACAGGAGGCAACCAGTCGATGTGTTTCTCTCACATGGATGTTTCTCTCTGTCTCTCCCTCTCCCTAAAAATCCAGGCAAAATGTCCCCCGGTTGGATTAACAGCAAACAAACAAAACCCCTGGCTTCCAAACTTGCCTCCGCCTCCACCTCCCCTCACCGCGTCTCAAAGCCCCACGCAGGATACGCCTGTCCCCGCAGGCTGGGCGCCGGGGCGGGGGTCCCACCCACCAGGCGAAGCCCGACACTCCCCCTGCAGAGCCAGGCGCCCTGGTGCGTGCACAGGCGCAGGCCCCGGGGAAATCCGGGCGCTGAGGTGCACGGCTGTGGGGGCAGGTGGCCGCCCCACTGATGCGCACAGAGGTCTCTAATCCCCCGCCCGCCTCCCAGGTTCACCAGCAGGAGGGAGCAGTGTCTTTAATCCACACACGCCCGGTCCAGCGAGGATTAACCCGTTTCACAGGGAGCCAGACACCAGCGGGGCGAACGGGCCGGCGAAGACCACCTCCCGCTTCCCAGGGCGCTCGGGGTGAAGAACAGCGAAGCGGCCGGCAGCCCGGGTCTGCCTCCCGTTCCCCGCTGGGTCCAGTGCTTTCCCTATGGCCGGTCCCCGTCTTCATGGCTCTCCTGCTGCTCCACAGACAGTGTCCCCACATCAGAGTCCACCCAAGCGAAGGGAGGAGACCCTAAATCTGGCCCCGGGGGTGCAGGTAGAGCCGATGAGCCCGGGGAGCGGGCGGGCCTTGCAGCGGGGGCTGCGGCAAGCCACTGTGAGGGCTTGATCCCTGGCACCCTCCATGTCCTGCCCGTGAAAATTACCCCCCGCCCCCCGTCACGTGTGTAACCAAAGTCTGGGTCCCTAGTGGGACACTTTCGGGAGCACCAAACCCACAGGTGCCGCTCAGTCCTCACGCTCCCCGCTCCTCGTGCCCTGTCCAGCTGTCACAAAAACAACTCAAACAAGCAAAGGCTCTGAGGGTTCTCGCCCCTGGCCATCCCGATACCCCCCTGGTACTTCACCCCGTGGTGGTGCGGCCTCCACTGGGAGCCTCGGGCAGTGCCCACTAAAGCTGGACATGCCCCCGGGAGCACGATCCCACCCCACGTACCCGCCACACACTAAAGGAGCAAGAATATTCTCTGAAAGCAACCCAAAGGCCATCGGCTATAGAAGGGACTGTGGGATAGACACAAGATGGAAGGTTATCCAGAAAGGAGAGCGAGCAAACCCACCCAGCACCCAGCATCCAGCACCGGGGCGACTGGCTCACTCAGGCCACAGAGGGCAGGGGCAGTCCCACGGGGGAGTGGCTGCCCGTGGCGGGGTTCAGGCTTTGGGGGCTGGAAATGTAAGGACTGGAAGGCTGCTCAGCTGGGGGAGGTGGAGGCCCAGCAGGCTGCCTCCCTGTGCACTCCTGTACCTGAGTGTCCCCTGGAAGTCTATTACATATTCGTGAGACTGCTCCAGTCCGACACCCGCCCAGGTTCCTTGACTGCCAGGGACCTCGGCGCCACCGTTCCCAGCACCTGGGGTGAGTTCCTGCTCCGGGAAACTGCCTCCTGCTCTTGCGTCCCCCGCCCCACCCAGGCCCGTCTCTCAGTCCCGGAGACTGCCCCCGCCCCTCTCCCTCCCCTTCAGCTCACACCTCTCCTGTGACCTGAGCTCGCCCCTTGTCAGTACCCACCCCTGTCCTTCCAACACATGCCCCTCCTGCCCCATCAGGGCCTGGCTCCCACACCCGCCCAGCAATGCTGATCCCCGGCCCACCCATACCGGGAGAGCCTGTTCTCACCCAAGATCCGTGATCTGTGATCCGGGAGGGACGGTGGTGTCAGCCCTGCCCCTGCTGCTGGCCCACGTGGTCCTGACACGGAGGTGACCCCAGACCAGCCCGGCGCCTCCACACACCCACCCTCATCCCCTTCTCCCAGGTCCCTACGCCATCTGAGGCCCAGCAGCACCCCTTCCATCGGCCACAACAGACCCCGCAGAGTTGACCAGAAGACCTCCTCAGGCCGGGCCTTCAGGCCTGGTGCCCGGAACACGTCCAGGACCTGGGCTGGGCACCTCCCGCCTCAAGATCCCAGCAAAGGCCTCTGTCCACCTTATACATACTCTATGGCCTGCCCTGCGCCCCCTGGTGGCCGATCACGAGCTCCTGGAGCCGCCAGAGAAGGGCAGGCAGGCCGTTCAATCGGCCTCCCTTTTGATCGACGGCCACATGGTCCTATTCTTGCCCCCAAGAACAAGACGAGACAGTATATTAAACATGGCTAGACCGCGGGGCAGCAGAGGTGGGGCGGGTGATCACGGGCCTCGGGTCAACTGGAAGACAGCGCTCGGACAGTGGGAGTAACAGAACTTGTCCCTAGTCCCGGGCGTGGCAAGTGATAATCAGCTGAGGCATTCCAGAGCACCCAAGCACCCCGACACCACCAGCGTGCCGCCCCTGCCTCCCCCGGGTCCGTAATCAAGTCCACCGACCAATAGTGGCCGCAGGAGATGTAGGTTGTGGGTATGGCTGCTAGACTTAGCAAATAAAGGTCTGAATTTCAGGTAAGCAACAAATAACTTTTTAAAGTATGTATGCCCGGTGCGCTATTTGGGACGTACTTACACTAACGCACTGTTTACCCAAAATTCTGATCTCATGAGTGTCCTGCATTTTATCTGGAAACCAGATTTGTGAGGTCTGAGGGAGGACGGTCGGCACAGGCCGGAGAAAGGGCAGTGAGAGTCAGGAAGAGCCGGCACCCTGGCGGGGGGTGGGGGGAGGCGGGGAGGGGATGCGTGTCTGAGCCTCGGGTGGGGCGAGCCCTTGGCCTCCAAACCCCTATAATGTACATCCTGGTTTGAGGCCACTGGCCATTGCTGCCACCGACTTAGCCCTCCTTGCTTCAAACCAGCTGTTTGTTCTCACACCGGCTGCACGTTGGAATCACCTGGGAGCTTCAGAAGATCCTAACACCTGCGTCACCTCAGAGCCTCTGATCTCTAAGTTCTGGGGAGGACACCTGGCACCAGCTGTTGTTAAGGGCGAGATTCCCCAGGAACAGACTTTCCGACTGTGAGTTCTGCGTGGAGACCGTTGGTGGGAGTGCGCTCAGGCCAACACCTGCGGGGGCAAGGTCCGCAGACCCGGCGGAGGGAGAGGTGAAGCTGGGGACGTGCGTGTAGCGGAGCCTTCAGCCGCCCCAGGAGGGGCTGGGAGCCGGGGTGGCCCTTCCCCCAGGTCCTGAATGGAGGCGCGAGGGCGGCTTTGTTTCTCATGCAGACCATCATTAAAGGGGGGAGGCATCTTTTTTCAGCCAAGGGCAGTCCTTGGACAGGGATGCAGCTTTGAGCCTTGGCAGCCAGCGCCCGGCAACTGGGGGACAGAGCTGTCAGACCTGGAGGAGAAGGGGGGCTGTGCCCCACAGCACCCACTGCACGCCCATCTCCCCAAAGGCGACCAACCCCTGGCAAACAGAGGCCGCGCTGCAAGTGTGGCATCGTGCCCCTTGCAGGGGTCTCCCAGCCACATGCTGACCCTCCCGTGGAGGAGGGCACTCAGCTGGGGGGCTTTCTGGGGGGTCTTTGAAGCCTCCTTTGCATAGATTGGCGGTTCACTGCTGGGCTGAGTGGGGCCCAAACTAATTCGGGGTTCAATGTCTGTCACAGTGCAGAAACGTTTCCTCAGGAACCTTCTAGACCAGTGGTTCTCAACCTTCCTAATGCCGTGACCCTTTAATACCGTTCCTCACGTTGTGGTGACCCCCAATTTCATTGTTACAAATTGAACATAAAGGATAGTGATTAATCATAAAAACAATATGTAATTATATATATATATGTTTTCCGAAGTTCTTAGGCGACCCCTGTGAAAGGGTTGTTCGACCCTCCAAGGGGTCGCGACCCACAGGTTGAGAACCGCTGTTCTAGACCTTCCGGCATGATGTCACAGGCAAGAAGCGATCGCCACCTTCTGGAGGGAGAAGGCACCTCCGGCTCCCGGAGCCGCTGGACTCACTCTGTCCGTCCAACAGGAAGATGATGTGAGCCCCACGTGCGATCTTCAGTTTTCTAGTCGCTGCAAAGAAACAGGTGAACTTGATTTTAATCACAGATTTTATTTAACCTAATATGTAAAAAGTATTGTCATTTCAACAATAACTAATGTATGTCCATATATATACATATCTTGCACCAAGTCTTCAACATTCAGTGTGCAGTTTACACGAACAGCACATGTCAATTCCGACCAGACACACGTCAAGTGCTCAAGAGTTGCATGTGGTTCGAGGCCACTGTGACGGGCTGCAGAGATCTCGACGTTAAAGGCTAAGGAGAGAGCACTGTGTGGGCAGGAGGAGTGTGGGTGCATGTGCCACGTGAGCGGGCATGTGGGGGTGTGTTTTCCTATCTGAAGGAGACGGGGAGCTGGGGACTCGAGGAGAGACCGACGTGAGCCAGAGACCTGACGCGCTGAGGGCACCGGGAGAGGCTGGCTTGTTGCGGTCAGTCACTCAACAAATATCTTTTGGGCACCTTCTGTGAGTCAGAGCTGTGCTAGCTGCTGGGATTACAACGGTGAAGAAGACACAGTCCCTGTCCTCAAGGTTCACAGCCCCATGGGAGAGACAGGAGTGAAAAAAAAAAAGGTGCCCTGGCTGGTTTGGCTCAGTGAATAGAGCATTGGCCTATGAACTGAAGGGTCCCGGGTTCGATTCCAGGCAAGGGCACATGCCCAGGTTGTGGGCTCAATCCGCAGTTGGGTGCAGGAGGCAGCCGATCAATGATTCTATCTCATCATTGATATTTTTATCTCTCTCTCCCTCTCCCTTCCTCTCTGAAATCAATAAAAAAAATTTTTTTAAATGGTCTTAATAGAGCAGGGGTGGGCAAATTTTTTGACTCGAGGTCCACAATGGGTTCTTAAACTGGACCGGAGGGTCGGAACAAAAGCATGGATGGAGTGTTTGTGTGAACTAATATAAATTCAAAGTAAACATCATTACATAAAAGGGTACGGTCTTTTTTTTTTTAGTTTTATTCATTTCAAACAGGCCGGATCCGGCCCAGGGGCCATAGTTTGCCCACGGCTGTAATAGAGGCTAAGAAATACAGTCATCCAGGTATTACCAGGTAAGTGGGAGGACAGCGGGGGTGGGGGGGTGGGGGGGGATGGGGCACTTGGAAGGTGTCATA